GCATAACATTTTTTTCCAATGGGTCTTGTACAACAAGAAAAGCCCATGGTCGGATCTCGGCTAACTACCGTCTTTACCTGAACGTGAGCGAATTTCTGGTCGTTGCTGTTGATTCAAAACTTCGCCAGGTAACTCAATTCTTTGGACGCTCCAAGGCCAGTACAACCTCTCCGACCTTATTCGTAATGATAACATCCAAGTGAAAGTCGGCTTGAAGCTGCGCGAAAAAGAAGTCAGTCGTGCGAATTTTGTAGAGGAATAAACATATGGGCTTCTTTGCCATGAATGGTAGCCAGTGCAGGAAGGTGAAGGAGAGACTCTGGAATGGTTGTTGGAACAATCATAAGAGAAGTGAAAGGCTTACCTTAACACTTTCTGGTTCGTCGTTTAAATCTCCCCACGAGGCACAGACCAAGCCTGAACTCTTCACCAGATCAATCAGCTCCGGGGCGGCGACAAGCGGCTGCGAGCGTATCGCAACGCCCTCAAGATTCCACTTCTTGGCGAATCGCACCGCCTCTTGGAACGAGGTCGCGCGGATATCTCGCGTAGGTATGTATCCCGACTCGGTAAGAAACAAGATTGGGTATATCTGCTGCTTGTTGGACAGCACGAAGCATAGTTCTGGGCTGAAGGAGGAAAAGAAGATTGGCCTGTTCTTGCCGTGCCTGAACACAATGTCCAGTATCATGTCGAGGTAGAGATTGAGCTCCATCGCGATTGTATCCATGTCAAAGTCTCGAGCCTCGAAAAGCATTGGGTATTCTGTGACAGAGTATCAGAGACCATTTGTGGCCAGGCTGTCTCTTGGTGTTTGTGACCTACTGAGTTCGATATCGAAGCAGACAGAAGAGTCAATTTCTACAAGTAGCTGTTCAAGTTTGATAAACGGCCCATGAATACATTCACCGCCTATGTTCCCCTTGAAGCCAAAGTTTTGGAAATTGAAAGTAGACATCAGTCTCGCTACTATGTCAATATTGTCCGGACGAGCCCTACCATGGGAATATGCGCGAGGTCGTTGCACTTGTTGGAGATCGGCTTTCCGCATCAGTGAGGATGCTGTTCCAGGGGGGCGAGCCGTGCTATCTTGCATTATGCTTGCCACCATCAACTAGAATTCAAGTCAGCGCAAAGCCTCAGAGCTTGTGAGATATTTCGCTCAATTCAACGTGCCTGTTCATAGGTGATATTATGCATTGGGACATCTGTCCCTGTCTCACTGACTAGAAAGTCGTGATAAATCACCGGGATCAGGTCTCTAGTAACTTGCACATCTGATCTTTATTAGACTTCGCTGATAACCCGGCTTGGGGGCCGTTTTAGCAGGGTCTACGTCACCTACCGAACTGAAGGGGAAGCATCATTAGAAAGTGGTATCGACGTGTGAATGGACAAAAGACTGTTACCTCAAGAATATCTGCGCCTAGATTCAGAGCCGCAAAGAACGACTATTTCCAGTAAGCGAAAAGTGCGGACTGAAAGAAGTGACTAGTAAAAGAGAAGTTGTCGCGTACATCCATGGTATTTTCTCCCAACTGTAAGCGAGCCTGATCTGCAAAATTCTGGCCGAGGCCTGGTTCCCGTCAGCTCGTTCGCTTTTAATAAAAAAAATCAAGAGAATTAAAAAAGAATTATCTGCCGCAACGTGCTGCTTACCACGATGACCTGCCACAAGAGGTGGTGATGCGTTCCGTTTGAGGACCATGGATGTAGGCGTCGGCGGTGATCCCTTGAACACAAAGGGGTTTGATATCACAAATGTAAAAGTCAAACCCCCAATATACTCATTCCCGAAAGCATCTGGGGAGATGAGAGAGACAGTATGGTCTCTCTCCAGGCTTTCCAAAGATGGTCCCAGTCTCTTGTGGGCATCGCCAAGCGAGACCAAGGCCGAGCCAATGAGTTGCGCGCTTGGCTCATGGGCCTTGTGCGGAAGCACAGAACAGTAAACTCTGAACATCAATTTCACAGAGCGTGGTTTCTTGGCGGAGAAAACTAAGGGATCATTTGAAAGATCCTCGAGAATCGGAAGTGCGAGTTGATACTTCTCGGGAACACTGCTGTCAATGGCGGATACCTCAATCGTCAGACTGCTTTCGGGAACGTGCATTGGGGCGACGAGACGGCGAAAAGCTTCAATTTGCAGAATCACTGACTCCTTCTCCATGTCAAAATGGCCAAGGTTGATGAAAACATGGCTATAGTCCCGAGCAACACCAGAGCCTCGATTCTGCCTATCCAGACGATTGGCGGGGAGTTTGATGCTACTCTGAGGTTTGGCAAGTGTTGGGCGTGTACCGAGTCCGCCTCCATGATCTTGGAGAAGGTCTACCAGAGATGTGGTGCCTTTGAAAGCAGCATGGGTGACAGCTGTCCAACCATCACGATCGCGAACAGAAACATCACAGCTCGGGTGGCTTAGCAAGAGCTTTACCACATCTGTATGCTCGTAGATCGCGGCTATCATGAGTGGTGTCCTGCCTCGTAGTCGCTCACCAATGTTGATGTTATTGGTATGCTTTAATAGTCGCTCAACGATGGATGTGTGGCCGAACTGGGACGCCAAGTACAGCAGTTCCGATGCCTTCGAGCACGTCGCGACAAGTCGAGGATCGTGGTCAATGAGGAGTTCGGTCATCTGGGGCCTCTGAGAGCGTATAGCCAGTGAGGCCATACCATGGAACACTCCCTCTAGCTTGCTTGTGCCGTAGACGAATGCCTGTGCACCAGAAGGGTGTAGCCAATTGAGAAAAGATTTGAGAACTTCACCGTGTCCTTGTGCGATAGCAATCGAGAGTGGTGTCTCCCCCAAGTTATCCTTGAGAAGGAAGATTGGGATATTTTCTGCTGCTTTTGAAAGATCGAGTGACAATATACACTGGATCATCTCGTTGCAGGCAGTCGTCATACCATGAAAAGCTGCGTAGTGAAGCGCAACTCGACCCAAAGAGTCCGGGCTTAGTAGCACAACCGGCCAATGGACTGGCAGCAGACTGTCGAGAACCGATCGAACACTCTGATGAGAGTGGTACTCATCTTTCAGTTGTGAATCATGGAGTATCTGAAGGCGCAATGGATTCAGGAGCCCATTCTGACCGGGGTCGTTGCCGGTGCTAAATCGAGATAGCAGGAATGGGAGGCAATTTGAAGCTGAGCAGAGAATGCCAATCTTGCTTAGGATCAAAAGTGTCGTCTGACTACAGTAATCGCTCTTCTCGGCTGATCCATCACGCAAGCACTCTTCCAATTGACTGATTGAATCCAGTTGCAAAGCTCTTACTGCATTGTCCAATTGACCTGAGCACCTCGCGGTCTCATGGCGCGTCAACAGTGAGGAGGTTCCACGCTCAGCGTCAGGCCTAGCCACATGGAGGGTCCGCAACAGACTATTGATGCTCCGTAAACTCTGTGCCCATTGAACAGCGGCATTCTGCAGAATTTTCTTCAAACATTCTACCTCATCGAGTATTCGGGCAATTTTGTTGCTGATTCGATCTGCGGCCGCTTGTGTGAGGCTGACGTAGCGACTCAGAAGTATGAGCAGCGAGGCGATCTCTGTTAAAGACCTCGAGATGTCTTTCTTCTCGTAGTTTGGTATGGAGCAAAGAGCTACGGTGTCGTAGCAATCTATTGCGAGACCGTATTCATCGTCCAGTACGGAAAATTGCTTTGCGACAACCTCAAACTTGTCCTGGAGAAAGGTCTCAACTTCCCGAGTATTGCGCGCTATCGCTTTCCTGAGCTCTGCAGCTGGACTGTGAGTAAAGGAGATGCTTTACAGTATTGATTCCTTGATGCCAGAATACCTACCTTGCAATTTCCCTGCTTTGGCAAGAACTTTCCATTCATCATAGTCAACATAGAAGTCTGCCCACCTAGGCACCTGATGCCTGGCAAAATTCCTTCCAAACTTCATATCAGTCAATATTTTCGGCTGTAAAATGTTCAGTATCAAGAGCCAGGTGCTTTTGGTATTTGCTGGGTAGTTGCTGAATAGTGAATGTACTCATGTGTGCAGCCGGATCCTTATCAGCTCCGTCGACTATGAGTACGAGCGAACTTCGATGCAGGGTGCCGTGTGAGAGTTTCAAAGTTCGTCGCCAGAGGTGGAGCGAAATCTGCTTGGATGACTCGAATCCTTGAGAGACGATATCGCTGGCAATATCTGACGAGCCACAAAATGCATACGCTTTCTAACAGACTGAGCAAAGAACCAAAAGACGATAATGATAACGAACAAGCTTAGCTGCGGATGAGGCCGTTAGGCTAGTGCAGTGATATGTGGAGACCAACATTGAAGAAGCCTCCTTGCATACTATGATACAGCACCGAATGATAATAGACACCCAACCGGCTATGCACAAGCGGATGCCAGCATTCCTCAGATATACCGCGTCTATGCTCAAAGGATTTGTTATCGATGTGAGCCATTGGAGAAAGTGTAGAAAGGTTTAGCAAACAATTCGTCACCAAGAATTCCTTGCTTGTCAGCAAACAATTGACTGCAGAGGAAGATTCTACTTGGTATATAGTGGTCTCACCAATGAAGTCGTAAGCCAGCTTTCTTCAACACACAATCATTGCATACATTTTGGCAGTAATTGGGGGATCGCAAAAAGAACGACTCTAGGAGCCAGTTTGAGAGGTCTCACATCGCCGGCATGGAGAGCGTCCGCAATCGTGGCACTCAGGTCCAAGGAGCATCAAGCCACCTCGACGGCTAGCATTGGAAGAACAACGAAACAACGGGTCGAATCGATTGTCGTTTACGATTGGGTATGAATGGCAGATGACATTTGCGTTATCGATGTGTGGGTGATTTATCGCGCCTCGATAGTGCATGTCGATCTCCGTTCGGTCCGAGTTCAACATACTCCCAAGGCCGAGCCGCGGTGGTGCTAACTCCTACCCTACCACGAGCCGGTGAGAAGTTATCATGGTCCGGCGGGTCGAATGGCAAAAAGGCAAAAGCAAATGCGGATGTGACCGGATGGATTTGAACCATGCCCGACTTGAACGGACGACCTTCTGGATGTCCCAGGAAACTGGAATCAGATGCTCTACCACTGAGCTAATGGTCCGGCCTTTGTTGCGATATCATATTCCCGGGTTGGACACGATACAATAAGGCTGATGCGCCGGCGCCGGCGCAGACGATTTACTGGCCCACTGCCGTGTTCCGTGGACCCTGCCGAGCTTGCTTCCATCAACCTGAAATTAATTGTGATCTCCACGAGCCTGCTTCTTCAAAATTCTTGTAAGTCGGGCACTAATGAAATATTGTTACTATATGTCACCGGAAGACTGGGGCATGCACATTGCACTTGGTCCAAAAAATGACCAAAGCGTTGCCAGCGAACATTCCCGCAAGGCATACCTAATCTACATGCCAAGATGCAATACACAGTAGATGCCTTCCCAGGTTTTGTTGACTGAAAAGGCTAATCATGTCAGCAAGTTGCGGCAGAATATGGCCTTCTCCGTTTGCTTGGGATTGACATGTGCCGGGGGATGCCATGATGAATGACTGGTCGTACAGCAGAAAATTACCGGAAGGAGTATGCATGCTCGTACAAAGAGTGTGTGTGACTGAGTGCATGCATACATTTCAATGTTTCTCGGCATCTAAAAGCGGTTTCATTGGTAGCAAGCAGCTGCCATACTGAGATGACCCGCACAATAGGGATTGGGGATTTGGGCCGATGGGATTGCTCAGTGGTACGTAATCTGGGGCGGAAACACATAGGTGGGTGGCATGAACTAGTTGATGGAGACGACTCACCTTCGGTAAGAGGCAAAGATTGAAAAACATATAGCTCGTGATGTCTTCAATTTAGCTTGCAAACGGTTGGGCGACTGCGGTCGTGGCGGAGGCTGGCAAAGAGATGGGGCGGAAATCGCTGCCAAGAGGAGTTTCTTTTTGGCAATGCTTACGAACCAGTACGGAATATTGATGGTCGGCATTCTCTTGGACGCGAGCGACAGGGCAGAAGGTTTGCCGCGAGCAGTTGGAAACTTTGCTCCTGGACCCCTGGCGACCTGAGAATCCATCTCTATTGCGACGACTGTTCCACTTTCTGTCAAAAACTCTGTCCAATTGTGGGCAGATGCCAGACGGTTTATCTGAAAGCGGATGGCTCGTCGGACAGAGCCGACCGATCATCGTTGATCCGAGGTAGGTACAGCACACGTAGTGTACGGTAGGTCAAGCGGTCAACCCACTCGAACGACACCGCTCACGACAATCGGTTTGTTGCAGCATCGATCTTCTCAACCAGATCATGGGAATCTGCCTGAAAAATGCGAGCACATGGGCTGGTGGTACAAACAATGATATTTGGCACAATCTGCTTGCCGTTTCATGTATGTAAGAGAGTGACAAGATGAGGTCGCACCAACTTAATAAGGTGAGATCAGGCAGTGCCAAGCTTTTCGGTCATTAAAGCCGGATCTACGGGATTGGAGCCCTCCACGTCTGGTGTGATAGCTAGCTGTGGCTAGTGAGGTGCCAATGGTAGGCGAAAGAGGATCATTGCACCGAAATTGACACGGTCAAACTTTTTGAGTTGTTCTCAAGTAAAGGTGGTACTGTCTGCTGTGAGCCAGGTAGCCAGGGAGCGCCGTTGCGGCCCTCGGGGCAACAGACTTGGTTTTTAGTTGACCTCAATTTCGCACAGCGACCAGGATATATGGATCATAGCATGGGATCGAATGCCGGTCTGTCGCACTGATAGTTTTTTATCTCGCGCAATCCTGGCCGGTATTTGGGCCGTTGGATCGAGAGAGAAATGATGCTTGTGTTGTTAGTTGCAAACTACCAAGCAACCGAGTGACAACGAAAGCGAGCACAAGCCCAGAGAGATGGATCTCAGACGGGATGGATATTCGGCAGGAGTAGTACAGAGTGGCACACCCTCACACTGCTACCGACCACCGGGCGAGCTAGGTGCCTGTGGTTGCCCATGCTGTACGATGGACCGCGCATCGTATTCGCGGTTGTGCATTCGTCATGTGAACTGTGGGATGGACCCCAGCTTGCCCGATTTCGAGAGGATGCTGTACATAGTGCATCTCGTCTCCGCAGTTACGAAAGCTCACTCGGCTCTTTGGGTGTAATGGCACATTCGGATACATAGAATATGGGCTTAGCTTCGAAGGCGCCTCTAGCAAGCTCATGCCTGTTGAGAGACGACGCCGTTGCTGGAATGATGTCGTTGATGCGTAAAGTAGCTGGTAGCTGAAAGTAGTACGCTTTGGCCGTCGTTCGGGAGGGTCAAGTGTCAACTCTTTTCTTGAAAAGAAAAGAAAGCACTGAAGCTCCAGCACCCCGAGCTCTAGCAAGCCAAGCTTACCTGAAGAACTGGGACCGCGCCAGAAAAGAGTTGACGAAGCCGCGTGGTCTACTGAGGCACCGGCCTGTTCCTGGTGAGGATGCAGCGGGACTCGCTCACTATTGGTGGAGGCCCAGCTGTCTTATCGAGAAGGACGCCACAATAAATCGAGCTTCTAGGGAAGCTAGAGAGGCACTAGTGAATTTCTAGCAATTGCAACGACTCCAGAGGATATCCAGAGAACATTATGATTGGCCAATTGCACCTCTGCCGACGACACCCAGCGAGCCCAGCACTGGGCCTGTTGCTGGGCACTGCTGGGCAATGTTTCTCGTTGAGCCTGTGCACCAGCAAGCCAGCCAAGGCCAGCCACTAGACGTACGTACCAAGCGTACCATTTGAAGTTAACTCTGATGGGAGAGTCAGACAATTGCTACATACCGCTCGTCAGCACGAGGGAGGTTGGAGACACAGCAAACCTTAGGTACTTTGCCTGATATGCTAGCAGGGGTCTCACAGGGTCTAGCAGAAGAGCTAGCAGGGTTTGGGAGAGCGGGAATGCACAGAGGTGCGTCGCATCCTGATTTTTTGGAGCAGCAAGCAAGAGGAGATCGTGAGAGGGAGCGAGGGGACAGAGTGAGAGAGAAGAAGTTGTTGTGCAGTTGTTGTTTGAACGGCGCGCGCGCCTGCTGCTTTCGCTCGCGCATATTCCCCATCCCATCCCCATGCAACTTGACCAACATGGATGGGATTTCGGCTAGATAAGTGGTAGGTCAGTTCGCTGGTACCTTGGCTATGGGGGTTGAATAGCGGAGGCAGGTCAAGATAATTGCATGCATGCATCTGATCCATGTATGGAGGTACCTTTCAGGTGTCAGTGGCCCGCCGGTTTGAGGGCGGCATCGTGGGCGGATGCGGATGTAGTAAGTACATTCATCATACATGGGGGACGGACGTCGTTTCTTTCCTCGCAGAATGTTTAACCTCGCACTTGCCCATGCTTCAAATTCGTGACTCTTCCCTCCCTCCCTCTTCCTCCTCCATCGTTTCCGGTCGCACGTCAATTCAAGCACAGTAGCAGAAGAGAAGATTAGAAGAGCCAGAGGCTTCGAATTTCTTTCCAATTTCTTTCAGCAGGTAAGTGAGAATACAGTCGCCAAGCAGACTGACACTTTCCTCTCATTGTTGTTGTTGTTGTTGCCGCATTGGGTCGCATTTGCATTTGGAGGAAGCAATCAACCTTGAGAGATCTCTACTTGCTTCGCATCTATTTGCATCTTGAGTCGTCCACGCACCGGTCTCCCCAACAACGACACAAGAAATGAGCATCGTCAACTTTTTTTAAGATCCCCAAAGCTAATCGAGTGTCGCGAATACTAGTCCGCGTTTGTCACTCTCAGCAGCATTTTCTTGCGACAACTGTATTCACACGCCTTCTCTACTCCATAATTCCAATATCACATTTACTCGTCAACATGTTCGCCACCAAGGTTGCCGTTGCTGCCCTGTCGGTTTTGACTGTTGTTTCTGCTGGCAACTCGACTTTCTCGATCGACGTTGACTCCGTCACTCTCTCCACCAGAGGTGCGTATTTGACTCTGCTCTTGTCCCGGCTGCTACACACGTCCGTGTCGGCAACTACGTATAGCACCAATATACTTGCTAACACCACCTCTTCATTTCAGCTGCTTGGTGTACTTCCGAGAAGAACGTCTGTGGTCAGATCTGCAGCACCAGTGAGAACAGTTGCGAACCTGTAAGTCAATGCGCTGATTCTCGAAACTTCGCAATATGTGTGCATTTTCTAACTTGAATAACAGACCACTCTTGACTACAGCTGCACTTGCAGTGATGGCACGGAACCCGACATGAACGAGTACCAGGACTCTCTGCCCTACGTGAGTACCGCAACCCACGACCTTCTTTGGCAAAGATCACCGATTAGTCCCGGAATTGCCGCTGACCCACCATGTGAACATTTAGTACATCTGCCAGCAAGCCTTTTCCGACTGCATCAGTGAGAACACTGGCAGCGCTAGTGGTCAGAAGAACTGCACCACCACCATCTCTGACGAATGCGGTACCAAGGTCGCCGGCAGCAGCTCGACCACCACCACTGCCGCCGCCAGCTCCTCCTCTGGTACCAGTGCCGCTACCGCTGCTAGCTCTTCCGTCTCCTCGTCCTCGACTTCCCAGGCCGGCGCCATGCCTACCGGTATCCAGCACCTCCCCAACGGTGCCATTGCTGTCGCTGCTGGTCTTCTCGCCATGGCTCTGTAAATCGGAGAAGCTTTGTAGCATAAAGGATGGAAAAACCGACGCCTGAAAGAGCCCACCCCCATGGTTGACCCTGAGGGTCCCATGTTCAGGTGTGCAACACTTGTTGCACGGGTGACTCGTTTGTTTTCCTGTACTTTTTTCTGGTCGCGGTCCACTATTGGCAGGATCGAGAGAAGCCACGCAGTACACGAGGTACACCTAATGCACGAGGAGACGATACCCGACTTGACGATGAATTGGCATACGCGAAGTAGTAGAGAGATCAGCATGGTGTTTGGCATTTGTTTTATATTGTTTTCCACTTGTCATGGCGTCTTTCCCGTCCCCGAGGGATAGATGTTGTGGAACAGCCCCGGTCATAGTATTTTCCAGGCTTTGACGCCTTGAATAATAAAGCTGTATCAAGTCCGTCGTCTCCGTTTTGATTCGCTCATGCGTGATACCGATCCTTCGGGTACTTGCTGAAGGTT